AATCTATTCAAGGAATGTCAGACTTCAGAAAGGATAATGCAAAAGTTATTGTGCACCTTAACATGAATGAAAAGACAATCGCTTTTTCAGTCAATGGTACAAGATATCCACCAGTTGCATCATGGACTAATCTCCCGTCAAAACTTTATTTTGTTGCTTCAACAGTCACTCCGGGAAAATTTAAGATTTTGCGATCAAATAACAGTGTATATGATTCCGTCTTAGCATTTGTACTAATATTTGTAATGATAATTTTACTGGGCTTCAACTTTAAATAATTGGATTCGGTAATTAATACTGTAAACTATAACGTTAATATGTAATTTTTCATATTTTTCATATAGTATACTATAAAAATATTTCGTACGCCTTGTGCGTGTATAACATCGATCTGATAACATAGTTAATAAAATTAATCGATCAAATTTATTGATACAGTATCATTAATGATCTCAGATGATTATTGTTAATAAGATACGTGTATAAACTATGTGTGCAGAAAGATAGGATGCGCGCAAAAGGATGCTTAACTGTTAATGTCCTTTATGAACGCATGCGGACAGACAAAGTACGCGTAAAAGGATGTCTAACCGTTAATGTCCTTCGGACAATAATGAGATGCTATTAAATAGTTTTATGTATAGTAGGTACAGTATTGTTGTCGTAACAGCGATTCTGTCGCTAACCTAAGAGAAAATTTTTACATAAATATCTTAACTCTTGAAGTAATTTCAATATGGCCGGTACCTAATAATTGCTAATCTGACCCTTCTGACTATTCTCTGAACCCTTATCTTCTTGCTAAAAGCTTTCAAACTACTGTTCCTTTTTTAATAAATCTATTCAAGTTACGGTTTGTCCATTAAACTTAAAAATCCAAAGCAAAACATTAATTCTAATATAAAAACCTAATTTTTTTAATTCGCATTTTACCTAAACTATTCATATTCTAAATTTAACCAACAGTCTTACACCACATGTTTATATACGTTTTTCTCTGCCAATTTTTTCGCATCCTTTTTCTATAGAGACTTTGTAATTACATGAAGTGATGTTGCGTCGCGCATCTGCGCTCACCTAACACATCAACAAAAGTAAATGCAAATTTCAACAAGGGTTTCAATAAACTCTGAAAAGCGATGGTTTTCGTGAGTACTATGACAATTTTACATCTCGGATAATTTGTTATTTATAAATTCAAGGTCTCATAACTTTTTTCTCATGCATTAGTGTTTCCTGTATTTACAGAACTTTTACTCACGAAAAAATAATAATATTTATAAGCTGCTCTGATAATTTTTTCAAATATACTTAGAAATTGTATAGATATTTATTTTAATGTATTGTTTTAATCAACTATTCAGATAACAAAAATTTTCATATTAATAACGCAAGTCCGGAAAATGTAAATTTACCTGATAAACAAACCAGTTACTTGGAAAAAGAATCCCGGCGATTAACAAGGAACTTGTATTAATACAAAGAAGCACAAAGTTTAGGGGATAGTTTATTAACGAAGACTTTGCCATAAGTAAAATACTCAACCACTTACTTGAAAATCCGATTGTTATATAAAACTCAATTCAAATTAGTAAAAACTTAATTATAAGAATGAAAATAGTAAATACAGTACATATACTTATTGAAAAATATTTTTAATTTCTTGTGATTTTCATATTTCAACAGATTCAATATAAAAATATAACTCCATATTTGTATTTATATTAAATTTTTAATTTATAAATTATTCTAATATAATTATAATAGTTGTTTTTAATTCTTTTAAATTAATATTGAATGCAAGATTCTTATTTAAAAAAGTAATTTATACATACAGTATGTAATACTGGCTGGCACATCTGAAGAAGCACTCCTTCCTAGGAAAGCATGAAAAAACCATTTATTGCATATAACAGCAGTGCTTTAGGAATGAGGTCAATCTTTTTTTGCAAGAATCTGTGTATGTCTGGTAATAACCGACTTTAAAGCAAATTTTTTTCCTTTTCTCTTTCTCCTTTCCCAAATCCCTTTTCTTGCCAATAAACAGTTTTTTCCTTTTTTTGAAGGTTTTCTTTCTAGGTTTCTTTTTCTTTTCTCCATATCTATTTTTTCAATTCTCTGTTTTTTTATCATTTTATATTAGCCAAGCTATCAATTTTATCCAAGCTGAAGACTTTCCAAAAGAAAAGTGTGAGCTTCTTTTCAAGACTTCTTTTTTAGTTTTAAAGAGCTCAATTTAAAAAAGATCAAAGTAACACTTCTTCAATTAAAAAGTTAGAGTATAAAAGAAATAAATGATTACTCTATTAAGGTTTTAGACACATCTTCTTACAATAAATAATAATTTGTCATATGTCAAGTTAGTTAAATGGAGATAATTCGATTGGCAGTACTTATTACATAAAAATTTACTTTGCTAAGAATCTAAACTGTTAACCAGTATATTAAAAGTATACAGTTATTGGCAATTCTATCTAGAATACTTAACAAAATCATTATTATATTATTATTCCAAAGGAATGATTACAGAACTGCTCTCTTGTCTTATTTAACTTTCAAATTTTTTAAAAAAATTATAAACAGCCTATTTTTATCAAAAATTCAATACAAGTTAATTAAATTATATTGGTATCCAGGTTACCAATATAGGCAAGACCATCAATCCTTATTTATATTTTTTTGGTTCCATGATTACATGGATTCAAGCCACAAGCCACAAGCCACAATTCAAAATTCAAATATTATATTTTCTCCTCACTATTAATACTTATGAAGCAATTATATATAATTAATAATTTAACTAGTAGTTATCAATTGTTTACTTTTTTAAAAAAAAAAACTCTTTCCGCAAATCACAAAAAATCTTAAAAATTTCCTTTTTTGGCAACTCAAGAAAAACCAAAGGAAATATCCAAAGGAAATACCAGGAAAAACTATCCTTT